ATTACAGCCAAAGGGCAGAGATAAAAGGTATAGTGACAACAGCTAAAAATCATTAAATAAAAGTAGAATAATACAGGCAATTATAATAGTTGAAATAAGAGTATGTTACAACTGTAGGAGATCTTTCTCCAATTGATGCCTAATTTTCACTGCTGCTGCACAGTAGTTTGCTACAATCTGAGTTATAAATGGTTTACAGTATGAGAAAAGGATTGTCAGATTGGATACTGATGTAAAAGAGGCAGATCATCCTTCTCTTCCTGTTTATTGTTGCTCTGAATAATTAAAATCTGTTTGGGAGGGGTGATTAGTTCACAGTATATGTTTATCTACTTTAAGATTTAATTTCCCATAATGTCAAGAATTCCAACATTTCCCTAAAGTTTACACTACTTTCACTCTGCCTATACAAGTTTACTATTGGTTTGTATCAAATCAAATAGCTTATCCCTTTGTGACTTCTTCCACTCTCAGAAGGAGAAAGTTCTCAGCCAGACAGGTCAACAATGTTTTGGATGTACCCTGTTTGAAAAAGTTTGTCTCCCAGCTGATAATTAAAATCTTAGCCCTTTTCTTGGCCTTGCCTCCACCCTTTACTATATTAGATGATTCTTGTCACTACCATTTGGTTCCAGCAGCTTTCATAGAGCCTCAGCAGTTTACTTGTCTATTAGCGTATCCTAGAATGCATCCGTTCTCCTTTGAAGTCTTTGAAATATTTGAAAGTCTTTGAAACATTTAATCCCTTTTTGCCCTGTAGGGCTCAGAAACTTAAGGAGATGCTGCATTACACTAGAGTTCAAACCATGCCCTCACTAATGGCAAACTCCTGACTCCAAACCGGATGCTGGATCTGCACATTGCCATTTTCCCCGCAGTTCACACCCATTAATCCTGAGCCTTCCTGCTATTATCAGTGTATCACTAATGAGGGACTTGCAAAACAAATTACCAAAGCACAAATCTGGGTACTGTCCAGAATCTTTAAAAGCAATGAATCTTCAACCACTAAAAATAGATTTAAATATGTGTTTCCTTTACCTAGAATTTTTTTTCCAACACATGATGTGTATTAGGAATTTTTAAACTGCTTCCTATTTACCACATCCCTTCTTCTCTGTGCCCAGTTGAGACCACTGCTTGGCAGTTACTGCCAACTTCACATGTGACAGATTTAATGGTCCAGGGATGGATACTTCAGATTGCTTTTCTGGACATTCTGTTGCTCAGACAATATGAAGTGTTTAAAATGCTCATCTTACTGAATATAAGAAAGGCAGCTAATATGCGCTTTCACACATAGGTTATTTGTTCTAACATCAGAGTAGGAACAGCACAGACTAGCTATAAATTAAGAATTTCTGCACTCTGCCGTATTATAATTTTACTTCTTTATAGATAAAGTTTTGTTACCAAATATGCTAAGGACCTGATTCAAAATTTAAATCACTTTCTAACATCTTTTCACTAAAGGATTTTTAAACAATAGTCAGAAGTGATGTTTGGTGAGTTTAACCCAGTTTTCACACATACAATGCCTCTTCCAGTTTAAAGTTTTTATTGATACATCTTAAGCACACAGTATCAAAATAGTGAAGTAGTTCTTTGGGGAATAGCAAAAACACAACACATTTTCATTATTTTAGCTGAGAGAAATAATGCAAGCCAATATATAAAATAAAGAGTGAAGTGTAAAGTCAAAACCAAGAAAAGGGACATGCTACCTCCAAGGGGATTTGGGTGAAAGCGTGGGTAGCTTCCAATCTGGAGACAGGAATTCTTCCTACAGACAGAATGGAGGGGACAAAAGATTACTTTTCCTAAGCACCCTTTTAGATTACTGTACTCTAAAGAGTAACTGGGGAATGGAGGAATTTTGGAGGAGGTATAAAAAGAAAGAATGTTATTCAAAAGTAGTTGACCTTAACTTGATTGACCCACTGATTGACCCATTAACTTAGAGACTCACTCTAACATAGAACCAGGAACACTGATAAAGCTCAGTGAACACCTCTGCTTCCTGGAGGCATCCTTGTCATATTCCTCTATACATTAAAATTTAATTCAGGTTTTGATTCATTCTTTCCTTTTTCAGAAATAATATTTTAACATTTGTGAAGGACTAACATCCCTCCTTGCTGTTGTGGGAGGGTTCAGTAGTACCAGTGATCCTGAGAGGGATGCTAGTGAGAGCATGAGTTCCAGATAGAGTTGCCCTTGCCTGTAAGGTTGAAAGGGAAGGGGTACAGCTAAAGACAATCCAGTTGGGGGAAGGAGGAGCAGCTAATGCTCTGCAGACATGAAGGAACACACCTAGAAGAAAGAGCTCTAAAGCTGGAAAAAGCAATAGGAAATAACACCTGTATTGTTGCCAAGCAAACAGTAAGGACAGTAAGGACAAAGCTGAAACAGTAAGCGAGTTTAGGTACCAAATGATGAGATTCCACCCCACACACCCACACCCACACAGACGCACACACAGAGACACACATGGCTCCAGTTCCTCTAGTTATTGGGAAAGAATTTTAACTTTCATGAGTAGATTTGGATGTGCCAAAAGGAAATGACATCTTTCGGTGGGAACAGGGTTGAAAGAAGCATTCCTCTTTTACAAGGACATGTTCAGTAGGAAAATGGAATATGAGAAGCATGAATATAAAAAAATGAAATTGTTAAAGTTGCAAATGTACTAAAAATTGTTTTAGATATAAGTAAATGTAAGTGAACAACATTGGCATTTCAATTCAGATAATTACGTTTTATACTATTCAGGGCATGAGACCATATGAAGAAAGGGAGTAGCAATGATACCCCAAAATGGCTTCACAAGTATGTGCTTGGCCATATTCCAGTAAATTACAGGATTATGTATATTACAATAATTGGCTAGCCAATTAACATCTTTTTGGAACTCCCTTGCTTTTTTCATTATCCATTGGATGATTTTAGATGTCCCTTCTTCTTCTGAATCCAACTTGTATATCCAGCAGTTCTTTTTCCATTAAGACTGGATTTCAATATTTTGAAAATTATCTTATAAGCATGTGAGATGAGTGCAATTGTTCAATAGTTTAATATTGTTTGGCACTGCTCTTTTTTTGGTATTGGAATTTGGTACATGCCTTTGAAAGCTCAACCATCAGAAAGGCAGATTCAGTTATGAATTAAAAACTGCCTGAGAATTATGGTGCTGGAGCTAGGTCCTGAGAATACCTAGGACTGAAAGAACAAATAATTCACTATTAGATGAAGTAAAATTAGACTGCTTGCTGAAAACATTAACAGTGAAACTTAAATATTTGGACACTTATTTTGAGGGGAAGAGTTAGAAGACTGATGCTTAGAAAAATCAAAGGCAATAGAAAAAGAGGCCACAAAAGGCAAGGTGGCTAGATACTGTCTTAAGGACAGAAGCATAAGCTTACAAAAATTCAGGGAACAATTACTGGCAGGCAATCATGGCAAAGTGGTGCCCATTTGTTAGGAAGAGTTGGAATAGACTAAATCATTGAACAACAACAGTGACCAATCAGTGATATACAAGTACTGTATATGCTCCTAATCTAGATGCAATGTTGGAAGACGTTAAAGAATGTTATAACAAAATGCTATACTAAATGCTACATTTAGAAATAACATAGTACTACTGTACTAAGAGATAATAAGAATGCAAAAGTTGGAGAAATGGCAGAACCTGGAATTACAGGAATATTTGGAATAGGCAAATGCAGTACATAATGCAGGAGATAGGTTAATACATATTGCAAAGACATTTGTTTATTGTTAACACCTACCTCAAGCAACATAAATGCAGATTTTATACCTGAAGATGTTACCGAGGCGAGTAATGAAACGTTTGCAAGAAAACAACCAAGCTCAGAGAACCCCAAGGACTCCATACCTGACATCACTTGATAGATAACATCAGATTCAAATCAGCTACATAACAGGAAGCAGAAGATCAAGGACTTTCAAGTTTAGGTTGTGGGACAGATTATTAATTACTAATGTTAAATATGTAGTAAACTTGGAAAATTAAAGATGATAGGTATGGCAGCAGGAGTTGACCTGGATAACATAGTATATAAGATCAGCATAACAAACAGATTCAGTACACTTAATGTGTACATGGTAAAAGAGAACTTGAGGAGTTATGGAACAGATAAAGAAAAATTGTGAAAACCAAAGCAGAAGAAAAATTCCCAAAATTTCAAAAAGGGAAAGAGACAAGTAGCTTTCAATACAGGTTATCACAATAGGGAAAGAGGGAGAATGAAGGCTTTAGGCATCAAAGAGGCCAACACCAACATTCAGAGTCAAACGACTAAGGACAAGGAAAGATATTTTAAACAAGAATGTCAAGAAATAGAGGAAAAGATATTAAAATCCATAAGTGTACCAGAACACCTGATTATTCTGAGGAAACTTTACAATGAACAAGAAACTACTGTAAGAACTGAGTTTGGGGAATATTTTGAGCCTGTGATGTGAGCTCAAAATATTGAGTGGTGGGTTTGAAGACTCTCTCAGCAAGACTGAGGAAAATAGCAGGGGAAGAAATAGGTAAGGTGAGTGAATGGGATATTATTGGAATATCTTTGGAAGCATTATGGATTATTGCTGGAGACAGATTACAGGCATTTGTCCATCCGAGTCTCTGGCCATCAGGCCTGAATTGATGATATCTTACTAATCACTTAAAATGAACAGGACCCTTTTTCTAGGGCCAGGATGGGGGAAATTACATTTTATAATACAATCCTCATATCTAAATCTGATTTTTTACATGTACGTAAGATCATCCTCAGAAAGTAGGTGCTTTGAAACAATATAGAATTACAACAATAGTGATGAAATTTCTTTTGTACTTGATTAATTCTGTCTCATATCCTTCAAAACTATAACAGGCAAGAGAGGAATTCCACAGCGTCAGTCCTTTTGTTGATTCAGCCTGCTTCCTTCTATTATTTAACAGGAAGCTCTAGGACAATCAACTCACACAGACAAACTTCTCCCCATTTTTTCTCCCTGACCACAAAATGAACAGAACAGTAAGGCACTAAGGAGTGGCAAGTGGAAGAAAACATGATAGCTTTAAAAATGTTAGTATTTTTGTGGATGTGTCACTCTGTTCTTCTCCAAGGTAAGGTACTTTATTGACCAATCATATGTCTACTCAATAATAAGTCTCACGAAGGTCTTTAGTAAGCAAGTTTACAATTGCAGCCTTAATTGTACTAAGTTAGAAGATCAAAGTTCAGCAATAGAGTAGATGGTTAGCTTGCATAAGTTTTTGTCTGTAACAGCTACAATTAAAAAAATATCTAACCTAACTTGTTTAGGTAAGTGTTCTTTCTGCTTGAGACACTGGAGAGTTGTTGCCCATCTGAAGTAGATACTGCTGAGCTAGATGCAAGTATGTTCTGATTCAGCCTAAAGCAGCCTCATAAATTATCAAGAAATAAGATAAAGCAGTTTCTCTGTATTCATGAATGGCCAAAAGGGTTGTAAAGTTTTTAACAAACCTGGCTGTCAAAAGCTGCAATCTAGAAATCTCTTGCTATTTATATTGTACTATAAATAGATTTTGAATCTTGACATTACAGTTTGTCTCATTACACATAAGTAGACCGGGGGGAAGAATGGCTTGTATATCAACTGATAATAGCATTTCATATATTTTAATTAATTGTTTAATTAATTATTAATACATGTATTTATAAATAAATAAATAAAGTAATTAAGTGTTTTACAAATGGATGGAGTTGCTACTTAAAACAAAGGCTGAATGATTATGTAACACAGAAGGCCATAGCCTTCTTCATCATTTTTATGTGTAAATAGTTATTCTACAGGTGCACATGATATATTATCATAGCACATTATGGTCAGGATATAAAGGCTTATACATAGAAGCAGCAAGTGGACTTTTTATGCAAATTTGCTGCCCAAGTCTCAATCAAATTATAATTTACAGTGAGGCATCTGCAAATATGTTTTCTTAAGACACAGATACGACTTCATATATAGTAAGTCTTCCCTAGATAGCTGAGGCAATAACTTTGAAAGACTTCCTTATTATGTATCGAAGTCTCAGCAAGACACCACAAAGCCAGAGTGACTGGAAGACCACTTGCATTCAGCCTAGAACTGTCACAACTGCTGTTCTCATTGCCACTGAATTTTTTCTTTCTAGACTTACTCGATGGTTTCAGCTGAGATATGTTTTTGGTGGAGAGAGAAGGAAATAAGAACAACCTATACATAGATTACAGAAAACATAAATTAAAGTATCTCTCAAATCATAGTCCATTCTCTAGAGCAATTATTCTTGTAAGACCATTCTTAAGGGACCTGATAAGCAAACCTCTTTCTTGGCCTGAATTGTCCCTGCTCCTGTCTACTGTTCTTCCTTTAACCCACGCCTCAAGTGCCAGCTTTTTGTCTGCCTTAGTATTCTCAAAATCAGGGAAACTATAACTTGCCTTGTCTTCCCAGCAAAGAATCTGAAATCATAAATTACAATTACATCAAATGAATCAGAGTTCAATGATATAATCTGGTTATATTTTTTAAAAAATACTTTTTGTTGGAAAGGAAAGTTGTTTTAATAAATTAAAACAATAAATTATATTTTCAAAAGCACCATGCCAAAAAATATCAAATAGGACACATGTAGTATGCTTGCTTGCTTGCTTGCTTGCTTGCTTGCTTGCTTGCTTGCTTGCTTGCTTATTTATTTATTTATTTATTTATTTATTTATTTATTTATTTATTTATTTGATTTCTTAAGGTCTCCCAACACCAAGAATACTCTGAGCAATGTTCAATAGGTCCTAGACTTATTAAAAGCACATTAAAAACCACAAAATTGCCCAAACTAAAATAACACTCTCCAACATGCAAAAGCTCCAGAGGGGCTTGACAACCACCCTAACCCCAGGCCAGAGAAAAAATCCAGGTCTTAAGAAACTTCTAGAAACCAAGGAGAGTGGAAGCCATGCATATTTCTAGGGGAATGCTATTCCAGAGGGGCAGGCAGGGGCTGCAACAGAGAAGGCACATTAGGAAGAAAGAAATGGAAAATCAGCTAGAGTGAAAAACAACAAGGGACAACAATGGAATAAAAGAAAAGGGTGGGAAAAATCGGAAACCAAGCAAACCATCTGGGAAGCAGATATCAATATGGGAATGATAATCTACACTGTTTATGGAAATCTGAGGGGAGGTGATATATAACGGGTTTGGGCAGATCATATTGTATGCAGTCATTTTATGATTATTGGAAATATTTGTTAAAAGGGCCAGAAGTGAAGTAGAGATCATGCCTAAATAATCTGAAATTGGAGTACTAGTAGCTAATGAATGGGAAGAAGTAGGCATTAGCAGGAATAGGCCATTTCAAGATTTATGAGGGAGAAAATGTCATGAGTTTTGCTTTAGGTACTTACAGTTATGGAAACTAGAACTTTCCCCCAAATGTATTGTAAGAACCTCCTTGTTTTTCACTTTGCTTGTAGGTTCTAAGCCCAAGGAGAATAGCGGTGTCTTTCTTCCCTCATTGACAGGTAGAAGACAGCTACTACTATTTATTATAAGACAACATTTTCTTTTCAATTTAGACCTGTATGAAAACTAAACAAAATCTCATGTATTAACCTGATGGATAAAAACTAAGCTTGAAATGTAATTTTTTTTTCTCTGTGAAATAAAGCATTACTCTTCATATCCTCCCTTTTATCTGCAAAGTCTGTTATACTAAGCAAGTTCTTTGATATGAACATGCTATGGTATTGCTTCATTCCATAGCAATCAATGTTCTCCTATATATTTAAAAGATTCTAGCTTGGTTCAGAAGAAAAAAAACCACAGAAAGCTATGTAGATTGTTGTCAAGGTAGCCAAAAGACCTATTAGATGGTTGGTAAGATACCTTCAGTCCTGTTCCCAGACTGTTTCTCACACTATTTTTCCCAGTTTCTTTACTGATGAATGTGACACCCAACTACATAAAAAATGGAGCAAAAGGCAGCAATGAACAATGACAATCATCCAAAATAGGAAATCAACATTAATTTATACATTTAAAAACTGTTTCTCCCTGCCTTCAGGCAGCCTGCAACATATTAACGAATATGCATACTGTTAAAAGTATTTTATATAACTTGTATACAAGCAGCATGTTGTTATTCTGTTATTATATATTGCATCAGTGACCATCAGTGATCTGATGACTGAACAGCTTTCTATTTTGCAAAGCTAAGATATTTAAGCATGCCTCATCCAAAAGACTATCCCCAAAGCATTAAGAAAACAGAAGTAAAATAGCTGTTTTAACATTTGCCAACCAACTGGAAAACTACTCTATCCTTTCAGGGCAGAAAGGGGGAAACAAACTGAATGAGTAAATGAATGAATGAATGATGAATGAATGTCAGGCAAGCTCACCCTGGCTAGTCAGTTTGCCTCTAAGTCATTTTCCAATATTTTGTCTCTCTGTTTGTATGTATGCCTGGCAACACCAGTGGAATAAATGAAATTACTGATCTTCTCTGAGGCTCCTTTGTGTCCCATATTAGTAGTGCCAACTAAGACTATGCTGTACATTTCATGTCTGACAGCTGGGGCACAGGAGGAGGACAATGATTAGCAAGCAAATCTGCTCCAGCACAATCATACAGTATTTCTGTATCTAGTTAACCATTTCAATCTGTATATCAGAATAAAGCAGTATTGCTTGACACTTTTACTTACTAGGACCAAGTAATGTTGGTACACACTGCCTAGTCAGTCCCACTTTGCTTGTTTGCTGTGTTATTTCTGAACCAGGATCCATGGCTTTTTGCTCTTCTAACAAGCCAAAATCTTAAAGCCAAGAATAAGTCTTAGGTTCTGTTTCTAGCTCGTTAGGAAAGCAACAAGTCAGGAAGCCTAGTTCAACATAACTGAACAAGGGGTTGATGTTTTCTGTTTGGTTAGGTATTCCTGCTGATAGGAGGAACCAAATGGGAATGATTCCCATGCCAACTCAGTTCCAACTGAAGACTGTGTTTTATCATAGCAGCCCAACCAGCCCATTCCCTAAAGTTGCACCTCCATGGACAATGGTCCAACTTCACCTCTATCTAAATAATGGGAGGATTTATTTTCTCTTTGTTTCATGTATAAAGATTCCCCTTTTTACTCAACTCTGTCCTCTTCTTCCAAGTTTCCACAGGTATATCTAAACAGATGATTCTCACAAAAGAATTCCAGAGTCAAAAATCAGATTTTCCCACTACCTCTTATCCTACAGAAGAGAAATCAGTAGCATTAACAGTGGCAGCATCAAGTAAGTAGGGACGACAGCATAAGTTTCATTATGGTGTAGAAAGTTTTAATGCAAATAGTTTAAGATTATTTACATTGATCTGATTTATTGATTTATTCTTTATATTTGTTAGATATTTTTATGCAAAGTTGATTGGAATGTAATAATAATACAGATCAAAGCCCAACAATAAATCTTAAAAATCCAGTCTTATGAAAACTCCATACATATGAATCCAACATTGATGCAATACTGTAGAAGCTAAAGCTTCCATCAATGTAATGGAAGATGATAAAAGATAATTAAAAACTTGGGTATGCTAGAACTGGAAAGGAAACAATATGAGTGCCTGGTAAGCTTTCCAAGCAAGAGCATTCCATAAGGGGAGGACTATTACCCAAATTCCTTCTTCCTCATAGCTGTACTCCAACCTTCATACTTAGGAGACAAAGTGCCTCCATAAATGATTTAAGAATCATAGAGTTGGAGGAGACTTTGGAGTTCTTTTAGTCCCCGCCCTCCCCGCCCAGGGCAAGAATCCTCAGACCATCCAGATAAATGGTTATCCAACTTTTGCTTGAAAACCTCTAGTGATAGAGCACCCACAACTTCAGGATGCAGCCTGTTCCACAGCTTAGTAGCTCTCATAGTCAAGATATTCCTCTTATTTTGAGTTTGACTCTTCCCCTGTAAAGCTTTCACCCATTAGTTCTTGTCCTACTCTCAGGTGCATGGGTAAATCTTATGTGAGAAGGTTTCTGTTAAGTCAAGAGATCTCATAATTATTAAGCTTTATAGGGCAATAAAACCTTAGAACTGATTCCTGGGACAAATGAGAACTCAACATAGATCTCCAGTCTCATTTAGCTCACACTATTACATTCTGTACCCATCTCTATTATTGCTTAGTTTTGAGCATGAGAACTCAGACGTTGAACATGTTCAAATTGAAATTTGCCCCCCCCCCCGAGCAATTATAATAAAGTTTGTTAGGGCAGAATTGTTGAGCAAGTCACCTTTGGTTATATTCCCTTTTTATTTTGGTTTTATCAATAATCATTGACACTCTTGGTATCTAATTATATTCAATAGAAAAGTTATTATGGTTGTTTCCCTCCCTCACCCCATTACTTAGGTGTCATCATCTTCATTGCCATTCTTGTGGTGATTGTAATAATCCTCGTCAGCATGGTCAGCATAAAATTCAAGTGCCATCATTGCAAAAAAGTAACAGGTATGTAGTAGTGTTCAATGTTGTTGCAGTATAATACATGTTGGTAGGTCATATCTGATTGCTAATTTCATTTTAACTAGTTAAAATTCATATTGAAGTTATTGACAACACTGTTTCACTTCCTTGACTCTGATACTCAGAGCTTAGTATTTGTTTTATGTTTCTTCTTTCCTATTTTTTCTGGTATCAAAGCAGTTAAGAATGGAATGGAAAACTCTAATTTGCTCTGTTTTTGATTCAAAATCCTTCATGAAAATCTGCCTCCAATATGTATTTGAGGAATTCTGTTATACACTCCAAAGGAATTTTGAAAAATTGGTACTTGGTCTTGTAAATACCTTAGTTGAAGGGAAAAAAGGAGGAATATTGGCCTCGGTGACTGACAGATCTGCCCTCAAATCATAGTGATCCTTGCAATCTACCTTTTGTTCAATCAGAGTGTCTTGGGACAAAGTAGAGGACGTGATACAGAATCCTTTATTCAGCTATTTACTTCATTAACTGTCTTGCTCCTTCCTCTGTGTTTCCATGGTCTGTCAGGAGACCAACTATGATAGAATGGATAACAGAGTCATCAAAGATGGCTCTGAACTTTTGTGTAAAATCTCGATAGCTGTCTAGTACAGTGTTGTTATTTGATGTCTTGCATATGGACTATTGTAATGTACTGTAGATGGGGCTGCCCTTGAAAACCACTTGGAAGCTGAAGCTGGTCCAGAAGCCAGTGGTACAGGCAGTTATGGGCACATAATTCAACTCAAGGACAGACCTTGGGAATGGAATTTGTTCTTAAACTGGGGACAACCTGTACATATCTTTAACTTCTAATATAAGATGGTAACATGTTTTTCTTTTCTCGTCAGACAAACAGAAACCTCAACATCCAATAGTATCATACAGGTATATCTCTTAATGTCTTTTTTGTTTGCTGATTAAAAGATATTTCTTTGTCATAATGTTAGCTGGGATAAATTCTATTTTCATCTTTTTGTTTCTGAACTCAGTTCTGTCCCCCTCTGAATGATACAGCACTTCTAAGACAGATCTAAGTTTTTTCTTGAAATTGGACAATTTTATCTCTTAAAGCCAATCTGTTTATCTTAGCAGTAAATAAAAAATATATATCTATCATGAAACCATTGATATTGAGGATATTTGCTCATTGAGAAAACTATTTTACCTAAAATACAGATTTTGCGATGTTTCTCCTACAAAGATGGACTGGAGATTTTTTCTGGAATTGTTTTCACTGCCAACATTAGCCAGATTTGGGCCATTTTCAGACTCAGTATTTCTTTTGGTGGCTTCTTCTACCACACCAAATTTGGTTCTGTTTCTTTCTGGTTCTGGCGAGTTGACCAATAGACAGAGTTCTGAATCCACTGGCATATTTTCTTTCCAACAATCCATTGGATTGTTGGAAGAAATAAAAAGCTTTCACTCTTTCCAACATACCATCGGATTGTTGGGATAAAAAGCTTTCTACTTCCTTTGGTTGATTGTTATTTGCAACCTTTTTATATTCATTACTTCTAACATTTTTTTGGATGTCATTTTCCTCTAATTATTAGAGGAATGATAATTTTTAATGAGCATTTGCCTCAAGCCATACAGTTATGGTTTACTTCCAGAATAAGGTGGCAATCTCAAATGGCATCACCGATAACATTGGCCTTTCAGCCTGTCATGGCCTGGATATAGATAAATTAGGACACTTGTTCAATTAAATGCCCATCAATTTGCTTTGTTTGATTTCCCCCTGCCCAAAAAAACCTTTGTCTTGGATTTTTGATGTTTGAAAGACAATTCTTTGCTTAGCAAAAGGAGGCAAACACTTGCAAGTTTCTTCTCATTCCAGTTAGGAATGATTATGCCAGAAGCAAGACCTTGAAATTAATTATTTAAAAACCAAAATTCTGGTTTTCCAAAGTAATGGAATTACTTTGAATGGAATCTTTCAACATAATGGTTCCTGGATATCCCTATAATCTAACCCCTATAATGATGAAGTTGGAAGAACATGACAGTGCTCCTTACTTGGTTATATTCCAGTGGCTGTTGAAGTATTTAAGGGGAAAGTAATCCCCCAACTATTACATGGGCACAACTCCATAACCTCAAAGATTATCGCCCCCTGGAATGAATTCAGGCTCAGCTCTTGCACACTATTTTGGAGCCCCTGGAGTATCCCCAGTGCTGCATTAAGAGCTGAAATGGAAGTGGTAAGAATGGAGAACCAAGCTTGGTTAGTGAAAATTATCATACATACTACCTCAGACTGAAATATCAACAATCTGGCCTTATCCCTCTGATTCTCCACAATAAACCCTTTTATTGGATATCTGAAGTGAAGCAGAAGATGGCTAGTGTAGCCCTACACTCATCAACCTTACATACCATTGGACTATCTGAAGCAAGGAAAATTGTTAAACTGCCTATGGGATAGAGGATTTACAAAAAGGCCATTAATTGTTGGCAGTTAGAGAGTCCATATAATTTGGCAAACTGTCTATATGGATTTACTCAGGCCAAACTGAGGAGGACATTCACACTAGCATTTCTTGACCCGATGCCCTCAGCAGGTTTACTGGGCCAATGCACAAGCATTCTTTTCTCTGAACAGCTTGATCCACGTGGCTATGGAGAGGGGCACCAATTGGCCATGTCCTAATATACTGCCAATATTATAGAGATGCATATTTATCCCTTGTTATACCAATTTTTGTATGTTATCCAGGTAGATTTCCTTCCTTTTGTTTTTTTACTGTCCGATATAGATCATAAATTAATACTTCAGGTTGTGAAATGTTGTTATTTTATCAACTTTGCAATAAATTGTTAGGGTATATTATCTATGTTTTAATTTCTATTTTGGACTGAATTATATTATTTTTGGTTGTTCTTTTATGTAATAAAGTTGAGAAAATAGCTGGCAGATCAACAGAAGCAACTGCCTTTCAGTTGAAGATTGTTCAATTTTTCCCAAAGTCTATCCTTAGGCATGAAGTCAGAAGCAGATTTAGAGTCCAGAAGTATCGTAAGAAACATCCCTCTGGGGCTGCAGGGGAGATACTAGAGTTGGGCAGTGGGATCCAATTTCAAAAAGGGGCAGAGGGGAGCCATTTGATCCAGTGAAAAGATGTGACCGTGTTAAAGAGTAGCAAACAGGTGCTGTGACTGTGCACAATCAGATCCAAAGTGCTGCACAGCCCTAGGAGATAGATATTTCTCAGACCAGTAGAGGAAATCAGCTCTTGGCGCAAATCTCCTTGACCTGATCTGAAAGCAGCTTGTTCCTCTGCCAGAATATTTTTGTTGTGCAGGCATTCTAAGTATTTCTTATTTACATGTCTAGTGTTGTTTTTTTCTAACTATGCTGAACATCCTAGTTGGTTAAAGAAAACAGGTGAAAATAGTTAATCCCAAGGCAAATAAAACATACATGTATGTACAAGTGTGTATGTGTGCATGTGTGTGTGCCTTTGAATCAGTCTTGACTCCTGGCAACTACATGGACAAATTCATGCAGTTTTCTTGGCAACATTTTTCGGATGTGGTTTGTCCTTGCCTCCTTCCTAGGGCTGAGACACAGTGATTGGCTCAAAGTCCCCCAGCTGGCTTCATTCTAAAGCAGGACTAGAACTCAGAGTCTCCTGGTTTCTAGCCTGCTGGCTTTGACCACTACATAATTCAGAATATCCACCATCACATTTCTTGTTCTAAAACCAAAGCACTTTTTAAGTTTTGAATCAAGCTTCTTGAGCCAAACATTCTCAAAGTTTCAGAAAGAAAGAAGATTTATTTTCATTAGCCATATTAGTGTAATACCTGAGCAGAGTTTGTTCTTTTTCTATACTATTATATGGGGGCAGAATGACACTAAAACAAAAAGACACATATAATTCCCAGTCTATTGGGCTAATTCCTTCTATTTTACTCTACACATTTTCTCATGAAGGAACTGGATAAGTAATGTGTTGCATTTTTGTTTCTTTGGCAGCTGCTCGGACGCTGATACTACAGTTGGCAAAAAGAATGTCTTGTTGGTCTCCATGAAGGACTTAAGTGCAACCAGCAGCAAAAGTAAGAGGGTGGGGAGAGGGACCCAAATATTGTTCAACTGTTTCCCTTTCGTTCAAACAATTCAGAGACGCAACTTACGCTTATGTTTCAGAATGGCAGAATTCAATGCAGCACACATATCTTAGGGATGTGTAGTATTCTCAGTTTGATCTGAACCTGGGTCAGAGGTCTACTAATTTTTGCCTTTTTTTGTTTTTCTAGGTCTTGTGAAGGTAATTACTCATGAAGAGTAGGGGGAACGAAACACCAGCAATTTTATTTTTATTGTATGTATTCATGCAGGGAGAATTCAGCAAAGCATTAAGCTGTTACCATTTGGAATATAACTATATGAAGCTGCTTTATAATCAGTGTTTCATATCTGAAGGCAAAAAGGTGGTTTGAATCCTTGGGGGAGAGGCACAAACATAGCTTGTATCTGTAACTGTTTAAAGCAGAATGGCCTTTCTGCAGGATCATGTGGGTGTCCTCTGCACCTACTACGCAACCCAGAAAAGAAGCATATGGTTTAAAGACTTGCTGCAGTCGCACCCCTGCATGCTCCGAAGCACCTTTTCATCTTTCTTTATGGAGCATCGCACAGGCTTCATAATCACATAAATGATCCAACTAGCCTAGTATTGTATACTCAAGAGCTTTCAGGGCCTTAGGCAGACTTTCCTAATAGTTGTTATCTGAATCTATAGGAGATTGTACCTGGGACTCTTGTTGCATCTTACTGTTGGGCTATGATCGTCTGCTGCTATACTGTTGGTTGGGCACGGAAACTGAGGGTTGGATGCAGAAAAAAGCAGCATAATAGGAATTGTGGAAGCAGAGGCTTCTGCCCCTTTCTTTCCCTCAGTAAACTTCCAGCCTCCTAAAAGTCTCCCACCTATTGAAGGGAGTAGGCTGTAATGCAAGGGGCCATGAAAGAGCAGGAGGATGTTTCCTTCTGCCATGTCATATACAATTTCTTCTTTAGATTGAGCTATTTATTTTCCTTAAAACATGTAGCATGTTTTAAGATGTATTTCCATTTTTCTCTGAGATGAAAATCTTATTGAGTACCATTGGCTTATTTTACATTCCACTCACTTTCACAGACATTTTTCTGTTTAATTTTCAAAAAATATCTTCAGAAAATAGGGATGGAGTTTGCACTGGTGCCAGTTTCTTTTCTCTTACATTCCTGTCAGGAACTTTGGCCTTGAAGCCGCAGTTGCAAGAATGGAATGAACATTCCTGTTAGATTTTTGGTGCTAATCATTTGCCTTTACTGTGTCTTCTTTGGCCGTTTATGCATTTGATGTTTATGCAAAATTTTCATCATTAAATTTCCTGCTTCAGTTTCTACATATATTTCATTTCCCTTCCTTCAAACTTCTTAAATTAAAGAATCTGAAGTGTAGCCAATGTACGACAGTGGAACTAATGGATTGCTGTATGTGCTATCAAGTCAATATCAACTCTTAGCAACCACATAGACAGATTTTTTCCATGACAGCCTGTTCCCAACCTGGTTCTTCAGGACTTCCAATCGTGCACCCATTACTACTGTAACTGAGTCCATCCACCTTGGCGCAAGTTGTCCTCTTCTCTTTCCTTACACCTTTTCTAGAATTAGAGCCTTCTCTAGAGAGCTAGGTCTTCACATAATGCAGTGTTTCTCAACCTTTTTTAAGTTGTATGGACTTCAACTCCCAGAATTCCCCAGTCAGCTGGGGAATTCTGGAAGTTGAAGTCCACACATCTTAAAGTTCTATAGATTTCTGTTCTGTATTTCAGTCAAAATGTCATGTTTTCTGTGACAGCAATCCATTAGATACTTGGAAAGCTAAGATCTTATGTCATGTCATAAAAGATCTTTTAGATCAGAAGAGCTTACAATTTCTACTGCCTTTATCAAATGATTCCAGAATGTGATTTAGAACTAGATTAGCTGAAATGAAAATTGTGCTATATTGGAAACATGCTCACCTGGCCAATATACAGAAACAAACTGAAGCAGAAGGGAACATTCAGAGAGGCTAAAGGAGATTTCAGGGGAGGGAGGAAGAAAGAATAACATGACCAGTTTTGTCTTCTGGTAAAGGGGATTAGCCACACCCACTATGGCAGCATTTTATGAGGTTGTCCATAATATGCTCTCAAAATTCTGAACACGTCAACAGTTCAAAACATTGGTGTGATTTTTTTTTATCTTTAGCTCAGTAGTAACACCCTGGCTGCTGACCAGCAAAATCAGTTTCAGCTCTGCTTTCTTTTCCTCCAAGCTCTTTAACCCTAAACCCTTCTAGGTTCTATTTTGCCCCATCTTTTTTCAAGTATGCCTTGTTCTATTTTCTATTCCCCTTATCAACTCCACTCACCAACCATACAACCTACTAGGTGTCTTATGGCATGGGAGTTTTCATAGGCACAGTAAAGCAATGCATAGAAGATGTGAAGAACATCACTAGGCAGTATGAGAATGCTGTTTGAAATGGAAGATAATGAAATACTAGTAGTCATTTTCTTAGGATCCCTTGCTATTTGGTTCCAACAATCCCCATGCCCACTATGGAAACAGAGGGAATAGAATTCTGAGCATTCATGAGGTCCTTAGGCAATTGTCTCATTTGTGAGGAGGATACACTAAGTGAAGGACCACAGTGTCCATTGGAAATGACAGGTATAATTTAAAATTCCATAACAATGGGAATAGAGAATGACAATTGACATAACTGGACTGCATTGATATCAGTGCAAGATGCAGAAAAGTAAGAAATCAAGGAAAGGATGGAAATCTGAAAAGAAATGCATTGGGTCACAGGGACAAAAATGGTTATATTGACCGGAAGAAGTCTGTTTTGAGACAAGAAGTATATATTTGTAAACATTATATTTTTAAAAAATACAGGCCTCTGTATTTTTAGGGTTTGATGTTAGAAACATTTACCTTTAACTAATGTAATATAGACTAGAGATGCCATCATCTCAAACTTAAATTGCAAAAGGCAACCATTTTGCTATATTCAAGTTTCAAAATTAGGAAGAAGAATGACTTTTTCAATATAATATTATTTCTACAGGTTAAGATAAACCACTATATATTATTGAAATCTCCTTTTGAATTCTTTATAGCCAAATTTTCCTTTCTAGTCATGCCATCAATTTCCAGCCAACACACAGGCTGGACAGTAGACTCACTCTCTTGGTTCTCCTGGCACAAACTGATTCTTGGCTCATGCTCTTCTTGGATGGTCTCTGTTTAAGCTTGCCACCATCATTATATAATTATGAAGTCTGAACTGTATAAACATTATATATAGTTATATAAATAATGAGTTCCAGTATTCAAAATGTATGTTTGGATATAGGAGCAGATTAAAGGCACCTATAGAAAACAGCAGTGTATACATCATCAGGGCTTCCCCTAATATGAAAACACTTGCTAATTAGAGATGTAAAAGAAAAAAACCAGCATGGTGCATAGTATCTAACAGCTATAGAAAGTTCAGTGTTTGAGTTAAAAAACAAAAATGCAAAAAATTGGGGGGAGGGGGAGATGAAAGAGATAGAGAGAGAAGAGATGCAGTACAAGTTTTCCAGTAATTGGCAAGAAGGCATGGTTAAACTCAATGGGAACATTACTGTTAGCAGGTGTATTTTGTTTGTATTCAAGTTGGTTCTCTTCTTATTCCCTCTGCATTTATTTTCCTTTTGTACTGTGTTGATTGGTGTGTAACCTGCAGAAAGGAATTAACTTCTTAAACTGTGTAAGGGATCTACAAACATTTAGGTACTTTATAAGCTATTAACAGTAACAGCAGCATGGAGCATGATTTCTTGTTGATTCACATGCCATTTTCTGCTGAAGCCCTCACATACTTCTGGAGCAACAATACTGCCATATGGTTAAGCAACATTTTAGTGGGAAAATTATAGTAAGGGTTGATCTATTGTCCAAAAAATAACCCTAACCAAGTAAGGTAAAGACCCTTATCACTGGTGAATGAAATTATCCCATTTTCCAGGTGTCTGTATAGAATAACATACTCTCTTTGTCTGTTTCATTGGAAACTTCTTAAATGAGTCAATTATTTTCTTTTCTAGCTTTAGTGCCCCTTAACCAGAGTAAAAACAATGATCTGGAACTAACAGCATCTTAATAATTTGCAATAATGAGTTATACACAATAGGAGTGTGCAAAGCATTCAACAGAGATGCTTTACAAAGTACCCCTCCTTGAAGAACGAAGTACCCTTCCTTAGAGCTTAAGCAGCCACATCCTTTGGAAAGTTCATGTGGGTGGTTTCAAGACTGTTTCAGCTGGATGCACATGCCCAGACAACTAATGATGGCCTCTGAAGTAGTTGCACGAGCCTTTTAAAGCACACAGGTGTTTTAGGACTTTGAGGAATGATGCTTCATTTGCATTAACACAGCCTTTGGAATGCTTTGCGTAGCCAAAATATGCAACACCACATATTCAGTGGGATTCCTGCTTCCCAAACTACTCCTCCCAATTTGTTCTATAGGATTCATTCCAATGAATATAACCCATGATCTAATCCAAAAGTATGCACATCATGTTGCTGGACTACAACTCCCAGCATCCCAAGAAGCATGACCAATGGTGAGAGAGAGAGATTGGGAGTTATAATTCAGCAACAGATGGAACACCACAGGTTACCTAATTTGTCAAGTTCAATTTCTGACAGGTAAAGTTTAAAAATCTGTCAGTCCCTATGACAGAGAAACAGGATTTAGTTCTTGCCACAAGGAATTTTCAACCAGAAAAAAAAAATTGCATTTGAAGTGTAAGAAACTAATTGTGAATTCTGCTCAGCCTGTTCTGCTTCCTATTCATATTCCATTACTGCAGCTCATAATGTAAATTAATTTTTCCTGGAAGCCTCACAATCCTTTTTGGCATTTACTACAGACACATACAAATAGATTTAACAATCTGAAAAAAAAAAGAGTAAATATGAAAGCACCACAAGGTACCCATCCATATTTTACCCTAGAAAGTTCTCCATTACATACATTTTAGGCTTGCTAGCAGCAGTCACCTCAGAGTATAGGCTGGTTCACCCACCATATAAAGCTAAAACCAGCCAATTACCTTTTGGCCTAGCATGGTATCTTTAAATGCTAAAATAGCTTAGCCAGGTTCTCTTAATCCCCCAAATCAAAATGTAGTTTGCTTGTCTGTGGCTTACTGGTTTGGAAAAGTTGGTAAACTATACCTGAATAATCCATGGCTTACAGTGTTTGTGGACAGCCATGGTGAAATGAACTTTAAAAAAAACATTTCAAATGTTAACATTTGAGTTATTCAAGTGGTAATTCCCAAGAACATAACCGAGCAGGGTACTATGTTGAGTATCTGAAAGTAAAAAAGTAGAAAACAGTTTGATCAGAGAAAAGAAAACCAGATACTGTATGAAATTCACATTTGAAATAAATAACTTTAACATGCTTCCTCACATTTGCAGAAGGAACAAAATTCTTGATTTTGCTTGAGTTGGATTCCTACAGCTCTCAAAACCTTGTTCTCAATGTGCATTGAAATGTATGAGTACACATCACATTAAGCCACAATGCAACTGGTATCTGGAAGCATGTTACGCCCAAGTCAGAGACACCATTGAGTCTTAAGGACTAAGAGCCCTTGACAGACCTATCCTCAAATCTATACCCCCTTAAAGCAGTGCTTCCCAAATCTGGGTAAATTACCCAAAATTGGGTAAAAGTGGTTTTTCTTTTGGTAATGACACACAAACCCATTCACAACGGGGAAATTTAAACTGACTTAAAGATTGCCACGTTTTCTAAAATATATTTGAAAATCTCCCAAAGTATTCCTATTAAGACAAAAATCGATGAAATTACTAATGACAATTTGTTGAAATGACATAAAGATCATTTAATGACATTGTTTGTATAATACAGGTAGTCGAGTTATGACCATTTGTTCAGTGACCGTTTGAAGGTAAAATGGTGCTGAAGGGACTTACGACTGGTCCTCATCTGGCCATTGAAGCACCCCTGCTATCATGTGAATAAAATTTGGGTGCTTGGCAACCATGTCAGGTTCAGCCCAAGAATGACGAGGCAATCCAGTACAGTTCAGTTCCTTTATTAGCTCACACCTAATAGACAGAATCTCGCCAGACTAAATCTATGCTATAGCAACTAGTAGATAAACCCCGTGAGACTCTAAGGAGGGGCCAGTCTCATCCCCTTCATCTTTCCACACTCTTGTTGTGGGCCGAGGAGGCGCTTACCCTGGAAAGTCTCTCCCCCTTCCTGACAACCTTGAAGTTCCATACCAGAATCTTCCCACTCATGCCATCCATACAAACCAGCTTGCACTTACAACTGGCTGCAGCATCCTGTGGTCACGCGATCATCATCTGAAACCTTCCCTGCCAGCTTCCCACAAGCAAAGTCAATGGGGAAGCTAGCAGGGGAGGATGCAAATCACTCAGGTAAAGTCTCCCCCACCCACCCTGGCCTTTCTTCAGTTGCACACACCACACTGTCCTTCCCCCCTTTGCTCATATGCACCGTGCCCCCTTTCCCTCACTCACACTACACCTTCCTTCCCCCTTTGCTCGCTCACACACACCACGCCCTTCTTCCCCTCTTTGCTCACATGCATGCACCCACCAGTGCCCTCCTTCCCCTGAGTTTTGGATAATGAAGGAAAAAGTTTGGGAACTACTGCTTTAAAGCCAAGTTAGTTGGTTACTACTACATCCTGTGGTAATGAATTCCATGGGTTAATTATACACCACATGAAGTTATTTCTTTTATCTGATCCTAGTGTTTTGAGAGAGAAAACTTCCTTGTTTACTTCTGCCATGCCCTGCGTGACATCACAGTAATGTCTCGGTAAACTTTTTTTTCATGCTAAAACGTTCCCAATATTGTAACCATTTCTTATACAGAAGCCTTCAAGCTTCCTCAGATTATTTTGGCTCTGTTATATCTGTTTTCAAATGGGTTAAGCAGAGCTGTACACGGTATTCCATATGCACACATACATTTTTTTAAGGGCATTACAGCGTTGGAAGTTTTATCCTGTTTTGTTCCTAATAATCCCTAGCATGAAATCTGCTTTTTTCACAGTTGCTGCACCCTGATATCCACTGAGTCTCAAAGATTATTTTCCTGATTACTTACAATCAGCTCAGACTTCATTAGTGGAAGTGAAGTTAGGAGTGTTTGCCCCAGTGTCCATCATTTTACAGTTACTGAAATTGATCGGCATTTGTCCTTTAATTGCCAATTCATTAGTTTCATAATCGGTTACTGTCACCTAACACACCTTTTACCACCATAACAATAGGTGGGCAACTCTCCATTCTTTTGTTAGGTGACAGATTATCAAGTAAAAATTTAACCTAATGTCTTGTGCAAATGAAGTCCACATGATTAATTTATGAGAACCCAGAAAATTGAGTTAATTTAATAAAGCAGGAGTAAGTATGTTGTATGAACACAGCATAACTCAGTTTGTTGAATGAGTCATAATGGCTGAGTTTACACCAGAGTTATACATAAACCATCATTTTAACATGTTAAAATAAAAGCAAACCGTTAAAAATTAATGTGATAACTGTTAGAGCCTGCTCAGAATAAAGATAAGATTGTGTGATGGAGTGGAATTATGAAGGCCAGACTCAGGGAGGGAAGCATCCTCTTTCGTCTCCTGAAGCTAATAAACATTGCTGAACTGAATCTGCATGGTCTCCTGGAGTTCCTTGGGCTAGGCCTGACAGATTGAGGAGAATAAGAACATGCATGTGAAAGAGCAATATATTGTCTGACAGATTGTGCTAAACTATGGGTTGCTTAACTATGGGGGACAAAACACAACTGGTTAGGTTCATACATTATACAAAATTAAAATAAAATAAATTACATTATAGCTCAGCATAATGGGCATCCAAGGGGGGGTAGGGGGACAAGGGATGCAATGTGCTCTGCAACACCATATGACAAGTTCCCCTCCTTATGTACTTACATGTGACATGATTCAAAAACTAAAGGGTGGCTCTTATGCTGTGACACAATACCCATTCTGTCACTGCCATTGTTATGTTTAAGAACAGATGTCTATGATTAGCATACCATATGAATCCTGTTTAGTTTATATTTAGGGCAATAAGTAAAGCCAGTCATGGTGCTGTATAAACCATGGTTTATGACATGGTTTATTGTGTAATATGTAAACCAAGCCACCACAGCTCAGTTCCGACACTATGCTAAGCCATAATATGCTTAATTTGTTTATGGTTTCACATTATGTCTGAATTCAACCACTGGGAATTTGTCCTTAAGTTTGATGGGGCTCTTAGATAAGTATATTTAGGACCCTATATCCCTATATAACCCTACATCCATGGGTTTATCTTAAGCATTCCTATCTCAATAGAAAGCTTAAACTATAAGTTGATCCATGCAAATATTTTTCTGTCAATTTTAAACTGGGCGTTAAGCAGCCAAAAAAAACCCCAACCAAACCCTATTCAAAGTGACAGGAAGGTAACGACTGTAGTGACCAGAAAGAACTAAACAAAAAGAAAAAGGGAAAAGCGCTGCCTAGGAATAAACACGTTCGATTTCAATAATACTAAACCGCCACTTTTATCACATTTCAACTCAAGCCGACGAAACCGGTGAAGTAGGCCCCTTCATTTCAGGTTCAAAGCCCGACTGCCGTCCAGCGCCTTAAAACCGTCCCGCGCCCTTCGAAAGCCTCCGAGAGGCCCCAGCCCCGCCCTTCCGCCTCACGGCTCCAACGACGGAGGCGCCACAGTCCCGCTGCGGACGCCGGGCAGAAG